GCCCCATCTAATTATGAAATATGGATGTACGTGTACCAAGTCAGTGTGCGGGATTATCATATTTGATGACTAGAGCGATGAGTTTTTTCTGATTGAAAGATACTCCAGACCAATTTAAAACTCGCTGGTTGAAATTTAAAAAAGGCACTGCTTAATTAGAACTTACACATAGTTTTGGGGTTTTATGTTTGTGATTGAAGCAATAATCTACTCTTCAACATCTACTCGAGATAAAAGACCTGTACTTATACATGTTTTATTTTCTTCAATGGAATATATCTTTAAACAAAGAAAAGAGTACCGAGTATCATATAACCATAATATCTAGTATTTTGGCAGTTTTCATATCATTCAAACAAAAGAGAAAAAGAAAATTTATATTTTTGTATATTAATGGTTTAGTATTGTGAGACATGTGAGGAGTGAACAACCACTGGGCACTCCACATGATTTGACACAGATGGGACTGTAGTGGAACATGAAGATGGATAGTTCCTAGCTGTGTGAGATACGTAAGACAAACCACTGGGTACTCCACATGATTTGACACAGATGGGACTGTAGTGGAACATGAAGATGCACCGTTCCTAGCTGTGTGAGAGATATGTAAGACAATCAGAAGACAGGTTGTTACTCCCTGGGGAGTGTCTGGCAGACGTGCCACCTCTAATGAGAGATTTATTACTATTGTTTGTCTTCTTTGTCTCCGAAAAGGAGATTTGTGCTCTTGTCAGTCCATTGAACTGGGCTGTACATAGCATCTCAGATTTAACATTGTTAAACGATCCCTTTGATTCATGTATCTTTATGCAGAGTTAATGCCCTTCTATTGATCTTTACTGATAATGTATTGAATTATTGATGCATGCAGCTTCAAAATGGTTGTTGACCCTCTTGTAACTGTAAAATAGAGATTCTCACTTTATCTGCTTTGATATACTGCATTACAAAAATACTCCCAATGTTCAGCTTATTTTGTCCACTATCTCATTTTGCTATTCACTTAGTCATTCTTGTCACTTCCATCTTTGTTTAAATATTAGAGAAATATTAATATGGGGGTGGATTAATGAATAAATTTGTTGATTAATTGATTTCTGATATTTATACAGGGTGGCACATATCACCAATTTGGTGGTCTTCCATGATCGAGGCCCTGTTTATAAATATTAAATGCAGGATATTGAAATTCTACAAAGAAACATCTTCCCAAACATGCCATGCCTATAATGATAATGTTAGAATGGGGGGGGGGGGGGGGGTGAAATATGAAATTCTCTTCTGTTCTATAGTCGTACACCCTGTCAGGAAAGAAGACATACCTATTTACAGTAAACTTGTATAGATGCAGTGAGCTCAAGGAAGTGATTGGAGTTGAGCCAGGTCGATGGGCGAGTCTATCATTAGCAGTTATTAACCTGATCCAGTGTTAAGCCCCTCTCACCTTGACTCCTATACCTCTAGCAGAGTGATATGGGAGAATGTGTCTTTCCATCTAGAAAGTTTGCAACTCACTCTCTGTTTCTCTTCAATTTGGGGGTTTTGTCTTGTTTTTGTACAATTCGAGAAGGGAGTGCTATTACTGTATTTCATGTTTTCGTGTTCATAACTAGGGTACTCATTTATCACCTGGCTCCTAATTGTTGTCTTCTGCTATCTTTCTTGGGAGTTTTTCAGTTAATGTCTATCATTGTTATGCCTCCGCCACCGAAGGTGGTGCCGGAGGCATCATGTTTTCGGGTTGTCCGTCCGTACGTCCGTCCGTACGTCCCGTTTGACCGTTAACACAATATCTCAAGAACCATTTAAGATTTAAACTTAAGACTCGGGAATAGTATTTATCACCATAGGAAGACGATCTGATTAGATTTTGGAGTACGTAGGTCAAAGGTCACAGGTCACAGAGGTCAACTTATGAAATTCCTTGTATTGAGTTTGTTAGCGCGATATCTCAAGAACCATTTGAGATTTAAACTTCAAACTTAAGGATAGTATGTATCACCATAGGAAGACGATCTGATTAGATTTTGGAGCACGTATGTCAAAGGTCAAGGGTCACAGAGGTCAACTTATGAAATTCCATACATTGAGATTGTTATCATGATATCTCAAGAACCACTGGAGATTTAAACTTCAAACTTAGTGATAGTGTGTATCACTATAGGAAAACAATCTGATTACATTTTGGGTCACGAGGTCAAAGGTCAAAGGTCACAGGGCTCATTATGTATGCAAAAACAGCTTGTGATCGCGTTATCTGAAGAACCGATTGATGGATTCCTGCCAAACTTTGGTCATGTATGTATCTTGCAAAGCCAATGAACTGATTAGATTTTGGGGTCACGAGGTCAAAGGTCACAGCGCACATTGTGTATGCAAAAACAGCTCGTGATCGCCTTATCTCAAGAACCGATTGATGGATTCCTGCCAAACTTAGGTCATGTATGTTACTTGCAGAGCTGATGAACTGATTAGATTTTGGGGTCATGAGGTAAAGGTCAAGGTCATGCGGCTCATTATGTATGCAAAAATAGCTTGTGATCGTATTGTCATTAGAACAGATTGATGGATTCCTGCCAAACTTAGATCATTTATGTATCTTGCAGAGCCAATGAATGGTTCATAAGATCAAAGGTCATGGGCTCATTATGTATGCAAAAATAGCTTGTGGACGCATTCTCATTAGAACTGACAGATGGATTACTATTTAACTCAGGAAATCTTGCAGAGCCAATAAACTGAGTAGATTTTAGGGTCATGAGGTCAAAGATCAAAGGGTCATATATGTATATGAGAAATTGCTTGTAATCACGATATTCTGAGAACATGTTAATGGATTACAATTGAACTTGAATTTGAAAAATTTCTTCCGTTTCGGTTTGTAAAATTGCTCTATGACGGAGGCATCATTTTCGACTGCGCGCAGTCGAATTCCATCTAGTTTTATTTCATACTCCTTACAGACACACACCTGTCTCTGTTTCCCCTCTCTGCCTATTCCTCCATCCAGATTAACATTTTTACTCCCCTCTCAACTTCATGCATACCTTCAAAATCAATTTGTATTTAGATTTTTGAAATCAGATTTTTTCAAATGGATATATCATATTGACACTGGCTTGTGGCTTGTGCTTTAAAAACAGCAATACATTTGATCACTTCATGATCGAATATGTACTCAGTAGCCATTGGAGACAAATTTAAATCAATCTGGGTAATTTAAATCAATCTGGGTTCTTCACCCATGCCAGAAGATGGGGCACACATTTTCAGTGTCTGCAATTCAGATCAATTACCCCCTTTTCCCAACTGCTCATGATAATCCGATGATGAAGACAGCGTTGCATTAGCCCATGCACACCCAGCTAATCAAGGAGTAATGGTGGATTCATCCTATCAAAGGATTTAGTGCCTTCCTATCAGGATCCCATTAGACTCCCCACTTTACGTGATGGGTATCGGTGTGCTCTCATTTCCTCTCTGCATTTTGAGTCAAGTATTTAATTTCTAATCATGAGAGTGAACACATTTTTTTCTAGATTTGTTATAAATTATGCATACACTGTACACTGATAACCCAAACAGTGTATTTACTCCTTTAGTTGTTTAATATACGGTATCAATAATTTGTTGAGTACCTGCAATTTGATGACATTTTCACACAATGTAAACAGTAACAGGATATATTATTTTGATGGCTATCAACAGCTGCTGTAGTTAACATATTTGTATAGTTACATTTTCCAACATATTAGTAATTACCAGTATAATGATCATAATCGTTATATATGTCTTTTATTCTATGATGCTATTGGCATAGATAGTTTGAAACATTATTCAAGTTACATGGTCAAATTTGAAATACAAAAAATGCTAGTCAATTAACATCCAGAAATGCTGGAGTCATCAAAATTATAAAGAACTAGATGTAAATAGCAATCCAACATGTTATAACCATTTAAGTAATGGGATGAGCACTTCTATCTGATTCATTGAGATGAAATGACACAAGGTTTAATGCTGATGCTGCACACATACACACACAGACATAGGCCTTTGCATAATTGATCATTGACCATTAAATGCGATGCGCCTGGCAAATTTGGCAAATTTATTTCTCGTACATTAGGGCACAGGATCTAATAAGTATAGATTTATCTCTGCATTAAGTCGGTTCCTGGATAGACATTGTGTGGGAGATTGATGAGGCGGCTTCAAGATAATTTAGCAATCTGGGATGTGAGTATTAAAAAAGGAATTTATCTAGTGGAATAAGGTTTTTTGGTGTTGTGATGATGTTGTTTGATTCCAAATGGTCATTGAATCTGCATTCATACCGTCCTCATTCAAGGCAGAATTCTATTTTTGCTTGTTGTCCATCCCTTTCCACACATCCAGGCACTTGTTTGCATGATCGGGTCGCCATTAACCATCTCGTTTGGGAGTACACACCTAAAAGCTTGGGATGCTCTCCTCACTTTACCCCATTCTCCTCTTCTCTCTCCTTCTCTCATTCACACACACACACTCTCTCGTACATATACTTATTCATCAGCAGAGCGAGTAGAGCTCAGGGCTCCTTTCCCTCTTTACGTTCAAAAGCACATACACACACACATACACACACGATACGGGTGTAAGAGAGAGAGAGGGAGACAGAGAGAGGAGAAAGCCAGCTAGCGAGTATAGTAAGCAGGGTTTCGGGTTTCAGCGTTCTAACACGCTGTGATGATATTGTGCTCGTGGGAAGATACATCTCGGATGGTACGGCTGCGGCAGGCACGCATCAAGAGCAGGAGTCAGGCTTCCACTTTATCATCAAGAGATGCTCTCTCTGCAAGACATCTCGTCTTTAGCTCGCTCTCTATCTCTCTCCCTCTCTGCCACCTAAGGATTACTATTGGATAGCTGCTGGATATTCGTTATTCTAACTGAATTTCTGAATTATCTTTGTTAGCATTACAGTATTGTGAACTCCGAATATTAACAGTTTGTAACTTTTACAACGGTTTATGCCTGAGTGGGATCTGATTCTGTGAGCTCAGTTGTCAATTGACTGGAGGAGATAGAGGACACCCATTTTTGGAGATTATCCTGAGGACAGCTCAATGTGATTTCTCTAATATTACCTGGCATAAAGATTGAAAGTATATCAATTTAACAGATTGTCTTTTTATCTGTAGGTGAGTACCATAATGCATCTATTTACATAATGCTATCTGTGTATCTTGAATGAAGCTCAGATAGGAGAAATGTGTTTATCATATATTATTACTGTTCTGTATATTTTAGATTGAGTACCGGTATGTTATTTTGAGAACCAATAATGTCATGAAAATTTGAATTCCAGAGAATCAAAAATAACATTTTTTGTAGTAAATGCCATTGTTATTTCTATAAATTTAAATTTTCTTCAATCATTGATAAGGTAGTATTTGAATGTAATTGTGTTGCTTCTTGCCTATAGTATGCCCATGGCCTTTAGATGATGTATAACAAAATATGAACATAGAAAACCCCAAATAATATCGCTCTATTTTTATATATGTGTAGAACCAAAATCTTGAGTATTATGATTCAAGGTAGGCTACTCTTTATGTGAATACATTTTCAAGGCAGGTTGAGTACCTGTGCCAATCTACTACTTTTGTCTGGGAGACACACTCCTGGAAATCTCAGCCAATTCAAAGGCAATCATGGATATTGTCTTCAGAGCTGAGCCACAGAGGATCATTTTTTATGAGCAGAATTTCAATTGATTCTGTTAGAAGGCATGATCAATGTGTAGGGATTCATAACAGGACATATATTGACTTACGGTACTTTCATTGTTCAATTGTGTAGATTATTGAATATTTTATTTTGTTCCATCTTTTTCTTTGTTTTCCTCATATTGTTGTATATCTCATCATGACATTTTGGGTCATATTTGTTCTCACATCCCAAGTTTTATTGGACTAATTTTTTATTCCTAATTTTTTTTTTCTTATTCTTTTTGGATGGTCTTTCAGGATTTTTTTTTCAGCCCAGTCTCTTTCTCTCTCTCTCTTTCTGTCTCTCTGTCTCTGTCTCTCTCTCTCTCTGTGTGTGTCTCTCTCTCTCTCTCTCGCTTTGTGTGTCTGTATCTCCCCCCCCCCCCATCTCCCTTTACTTTTCCCTTTCTGTCAGCCTCTTTCTTTCTCTGTCTCTCTCTCTCTGTCTACCTTTCTATCTCTCTTTCTCTCTTTCTTTTCTCTCTCTCTTTCTCTCTCTCTCTTTCTCTCTCTCTCTCTTTCTTTTTCTCTTTTGTAACCTTCTTTGATTATATCTAGCTTATTGGCAATTTTCATTTCTCTTTTAAATGCTATTAGCATGCAAATGACAAAATATGTTAGTCAAACCTTACTCCATTTCACTGACCGTGATGAAAGTTGTTGAATGTTGTATGCTAATTACAGCATCTAGTCCAAAATCATTCTCCATGGTGTATCTTCACATGTTTTCAAAGGTCACCTTGGCTGTAATTCACACTGTACTTTACATTACCGTCCGTGAATCACCATAAAAGATACATCATAGCAGGGGAAATTACCTAATGCAAGGACTTGTTGCTTCATATACATCTAGGCATAAATGTATATCATCAGTAATATCAGTCATAGATGACAGCAGATGAGTGGATGAAGCTATAAAGCCTTTTTTCATGATTCATGGTATTCATCAAGTCAAGGTTAGATTGCTAATCACATTGAGATTCAAGGTGACACTGAAAAATTAATTGCTTAGAAACAGCCATGCACGTTTGGGGCTCGTCTTAACAACACAGTTAAAAACAATTCACAAACTAACTATTGAGTGGTTATATTCTAACGTGAGATTGCTTTTATTGAATTCATTATGTCCAGTATTCATCTTGGTTATTACTTTTCAGTTTATAGGTTTAGAATTTTGTCATCTCCTGTTAATTTTTGTTTAATGTAGGGAAAGCGCACTTGTAATCTTTGCACAAACACTTATCATAGATTTCAAGATTTTGTTTTAGTCAGATGATCGATAGACCTTGATAGCAGTTGTAAAAATAAACATGTATTGACACACTTCCATTGACTCTTTACCCTGACTGGTTAGTCGCGTGTACCATTCATTTTCAAAATGAGACTTCAAAATTAGTGCTAATGGATGTGTTGAAGTACTGGGGTCAAAAAGTACTCCACTTTTGAATGTTAATGAAATGTTCAACATTCAAGTTCAACTTTTAAATTCCTCTGCGGGTGGCACCGCAGGACTTCATTTCCCCATCTGTCGCTATGGTTGGCTTGCGCACATAATTCGCAATAAGCATGACCCACCAATTTTTCAAGCGTAATGGGTTTCGCACATGGTCCAATAGTACCTCATTGCTGTGCGTAAAAATTCCTCACTGGGGAGCCGACAATACAGGATGTCGTAACCATCTAAAAGGTATCTTTATCAGTCTGCACCAAAACGGGATAGACATCTGGTCTAAATACAAGCTCGACACATTTTAAAGTTATTTTTCAGGGTACAGAAAGTTCAAATATGATTACAGTTGCAGATATGAATACTTGTATATTGAAATCTATTTTTCAGATCGGGGTTGACATCTTGTCAAAATACAATCAGGACACGTTTTTTGACATTTCAGGGTACAGAAAGTTCAGATGGTAATTACAGTTCACAATTGAATAATTTGTTAATATTATATATTGAATATTTTCCTTTTAAAGGTCATGACCTATATACAGGCCTTAATAAAGTGAAAGATTGAAATGCCAATGTTAAAAATGTATTGTCTGTATCTTTGTGTTTTGTCGTCAAATTGTAGGCGAATTCTTTTCATTCAGACTTCTGTACCTGTGCTCTATTCAGCTAGAGTTCTCTTTTCCCCATCTTTTTACAATGAAATGGTTTTCTGTTTGTTCATGAGGACTGGTTGAATGATTGCAATCAGTCACATTTTGTCACAGAAGCAAACGGCACCAGTATAAGTATGCATATATCAAATTGTACACACAGAGATAAATCGGGAATGTTTAGAAAGGAAGTTTGGACACCCTCCCATGAAATAGACAAAAATAACCAGCTAGAAGACCACAATTGTACAATTTTATTACACGAATGCTGGTAAATGTTTACTCTGTTAGAATACATTTGACAACTAGAAGTTCTGACTCGAATGTATTTTTTAAACACATTCATTTGTCAAATTCCTACATTTTGCATACATGTAGTCAGCAATAGGGAAAATATGGAAAACAAGGGCAGTGTGACACTTCATTTCAGAATAATCACACAAACCTTCTCATCTTTTATAAAGAGTTTGTATTGCTTCCACGATCTGAATCTCTAGCTATCTTGTAACATCCAGCTGTACAACTGGCAAAGATGGCCTCTCACAACTCAACATGATCTCTTTCTCTTTTTTTCATTAGTTTCTTGTCTTTTCAAAAATGGAGAAGAAAGTCTTAGAACAATCACTCTTAAATAATATGGATATAAGCAATACTGTTAAGGTTACAGTGTGGATGTGGGTGTGAAGTATGCTTTGTAATACCAGGAATTCAGATCATCTTAACCAGTTGCCTACGGGAACTGGGCGGTTCCTGTGTTATGCCAATGGGAAAGAGATAATTTAGTCAACGGACTATAGGTCACTTCCTCGTCATCGCATTTACTTCAGTGGCTCCTGTATTAAGCCAATAGAAATGAGAGAATTTGGTAGTCGACGGCTCTTGCTAGTCATCACATTACTTCAGTTTCATGAGACAGGGGAGAGGGATGAACTGTGACTAAAGCAATGTGTGGTTGTCTCAGTCATCACTCATCACGTTTACAGATAGTTTACATGCATGGTACATGTTAACAGCATCCCACACGGTTCTAACAGGATGAACCCCTGTATTGTATTATATTTTGGAAGTAAATGTGACGATTACTCCAAATGGAAATAAATATTTTCATTTTTTAAAATCTTACATCTGTCCTATAACCTTGCTAAACTCCTTCTTGTTCTTTCAGATTTCCTGTTCAGATGGGAATTTTGTAGCTGAATTGAAGCAAAATATTCAGGTAAGTTAGTGAAGAAAAATATTGAATGTAAGCTATTCATTGTAGGACTCTGAAAGTGAAGTTACTAAATGAGAAAGTTTGGTATGTTCATCTGATAAAGATTGTTTGCGAGGCAATGTGTCATTTTGGTGAAGCTTGAATGTGACATTGTTCAAATATTGATCTGAAAGAGAACCGGAGGGAGAAAAAGCCTTCTTGATGAATTTGTCATCGCCCTCTCAAACACTCATTGCATGGTGGTGATTCTTAACTCCGGTCATCCATATTTAATATATATATAGCTGGGAGCAAGTCAGCTAACTAATGCTGAATGCAAATGGAGGGAAGACGAAGGAGGAAAGAGGGTTGTAGCTTAAAGGAAACCAAAACCTTCATACTAAGTTACTTTTATTGTAAAGTTTAAGATATTTGAAAAATATCAGTGACAATTTGAACAAAATCGGGCAAGGAATAAGGAAGTAAGAGCTTTTTGAAATGACTAGTCACTAGAGGGCGGTATTCAATTTGATGACATCATCTGTGAACAACTCTCCATGCCTTTTGTACATCAAATTTCATGTTTTTCCTTCTTTCTTGTGATTGAGATAATGTACTCCCCCGAAAGCAAGATATAGAATGCAAAATGATATTCTACTTCACATGTTATGAAGTCGGATCAAGAACACAAATAAATACGAAGAAAACAAAAAAAATTGTGAAATTTTATGTACAAAAGGCATGGAGAGTTGTTCACAGATGATGTCATCAAATTGAATACCGCCCTCTAGTGACTAGTCATTTCAAAAAGCTCTTACTTCCTTATTCCTTGCCCGATTTTGTTCAAATTTTCACTGATTTTATTCAAATCTTTTAAACTTTACAATAAAAGTAACTTAGTAGGAAGGTTTTGGTTTCCTTTAAAGAGTTCTTACACTATTGGACTGGATCCAAGGATAATGGCCCCCTTCCAGCATGCAACCCCAATATTATTTCATTTTGCCATATAACATAACATAACATCTCCCTTTGTTTTTTAAATAATTTAGTTGATGACTACTGAAAGAAATGGTAGTATTTAGCTCTGGAAGTTCAAAGTTTCATGGAGATGAATAATAATGAAGGGATTGAATAGATTTGATTGTTTGTTTCACAATTCTTATGGCTTTGACCATCATGATGATGACGATAATGGCACTTTCTTGTTGCTGGGCGCTCATGGCACTTGCTCAATAAAGCAGCCCCACTTAAAACGTTCTTAGCATTCATACGATTTTCAACAGATTTCTACAGTTTTTAACTAGCTTTTATTCCAGTCATTATAGTAAGTATTCAGAAGAACTTGTCATTTCAGCCACTGCCCTTCCTATATCTGTAAGAAAAAAAGGTACGCCGGACAACGTTACTCACCTACATGATTCACTTTTGATGGCATGCTGGGTGATTTGTGTGCCCTGAAGCTGAATGATTAGATAACTCATCCATTAAGCGTACATTGATTTATTCATCTGTTCATCTATTCATCTGTATTTCCTTCACCTTTCATTTCGTAGCTCTTTTACTGCCACTCCCTTACTTTCATGCTGTTATTTGTTGCAACACTACATGTGTGAAGTACTTTTTCTTTTTAAGTTGTATTTTTATTTTCTTACATCACTTTTCTCTCGAAGTATCTCAATTTCTCCCTTTTTATTTCTCCCTTTTTCCATCCCTTTCTCCCCTATGTCTCAATCACTTTGTCTTTGTCTCTCGCTCCCTCCTTATCCCTATTTTTCAATTTTCCTTTTTAATATATCAATCACACAATTTTATTAAGTACCAATTTATGATTTACATTGTCATCTCACATGAAGATAATTAATCATGTAATACATTAGCCCATTAGATTCTTCATTATGATTGCTTTGCAAATTGTTGTTTCAATTTTAAATCCCATTTTTGATATGTGAAAGCTACTTTGATGATCATAGAATGCCTACGGTAATGGCTTTAATAGCAATAAAAATGAAAAACTGGATCACTAATCATGTGACAGTATGCCTGGGGATCTTTCCTTGGTCACACCATTCCTTCATGCATGCACCAGCTAAAATCGGTGCTTTAAAGAAGGACCCCAGTGTGCAGATAGATTCCTTCACGAATCAAAGGAAAGAATGCAGGAAGTAATCAACTCTACCAATTGGCCCTCCGAGTGTCGCTATCAATTTCTCCCCCGGCTAGAGTTGAATCTTAAAACCATAGGGTAAGCAGGGACTAACATTTTCTTGACAGGGGTTGAAACATTAAGGGGCTGTATTCCACCCCCCCCCCCCCCCAATCAGTGTTATTTAGGGTACGCGTATGCATGTTCCCTCCTTTTGAAAACACCCCCCTAGTCCGGTGTGTAAAGTCAATATGGGCCGGATTTTTGTGTACTACGAGCCAGACTTTGATGCCTGAATAGTACACCTTTACCGGACAGGATGTTGCCTCTCATTGTGCCTTGCATTCATCATAAATATACAGCTAGTGAAACAGGAAAACAACTGTGGATATATTGCACAACTATTTCATATATCTCAAATCGAACTAGAACAAAAACTTGAAACAATCAAGGAAATATTTTTCGTTTAATTATCTGTCAGTGAAAGTTCTAGAGGAATCTTCCTGATCTTTGGCAGAAGAGACTGTGCATCACAATGACTCATCTCGACCAGGAATGGCCCTCGATCCACCATTCAAAACTATTTCCTCAAGCTCTTCGCTTATCCTCTTGCCTGAATAAACACACCTGAAGCATACCTGAAGATGTAAGAGCATTTGAACTTGAACCCTTAGGGGCACCGGGGTATCCCCCAAGAAGCAAGCCTTTGGGAGGGCATTGATCAAGACATATTTTTCATGACGTGGATAGCAAAAGAGGATGAGTCAAGGAGGTCCAGTAGAGGGATGATTAATTGAAAGAGGAAACCCACGCATGAAAATCATAAATTTCAAAGTGATGTTGGATCATCACGATAGTTATTATAGAAATATACACAAATTTCAATAAATATTTGAATTTGACTTTAACATAGATCTGCAGTTCTCAGCTCTTTTTCTTTTTGCTTTCTCCTCTATTGTATCCTATATAGATTTCAAGCTTTCCTTGGAACCTTTCCATTTTACACTGTTCCATCATCATCATAAGTGTCATTATATTATACATATATTTAGAAATTGTAATCTGATCATCGATATCATTGTCATAACCATGAGGAAAATTTACAAGGATAACTATTCTGATGATTTATAAGGCCAAACTTCTGCATACTGTGCGTAAACTTCCTGTAACTAATAGTTTTGATAATATTAAGTTACATAATATTTCAACATGATATTGAATATCATCTTTAAGTTATTTTTCTTCCCTCACCTTCAAATTATTCTGAAATTCATGCCAGTTTTATACTGACCCCTGATGTGCGAACTTTCCACAAGAAGGTCAAAGTTCACCACATCCTAGGTTGCTGCTTTACATATGTCATCGCTATATACTCTACCCCATAATACTAGATGTCAGCAGAAGAGAAGATACCTTAATGCATCCGCAATCGCTATGAAATTGAAAGTGAAACTCCAAGGATTTCAGGATAACTTCAAGGATTTCAGGATAACTATTTCAAATTTAGATTCGGTTAAGTCTAGAGGAAATACTTGAAGATTTGCGCATGGTAACCTCAGCACTTGCCATGAAGCCCGCTTCACTCATCGCTTCATCAGACTTGCTCAAGATTTAAAGTGTTATAAAAAGCTCTAAAGAGCGTAGGATGGGTGTGCAGAAATAGACTGCATTTACCATGAACTTTCAACTTTACCCGTTTGTCAAGGAATATCTGAAGTTCTGGTTGTAGCATCAGTAGAAGGACCCAGCAACTGTTTTTGCCATTTAAGACAAAAAACCTGCATATAATTGATGAATTGTGAGTTGTAAGTAATCCCTTTGCTTTGTTTCTCCCAAAAGAAAACGTTAATGGACATGGAAAAGCTAAATACGTCTTAGTATGCTCAGAGTTACTCCGACGTTGGCCTTGGTCCTAAATATATGGCAAAGTAGAACTTGATTAAGCCATCAGGAGGAAAGGTCAGATATAACATGGGGCAGGAGAATGAAGGGAGGAAGGGAGCCTCTCCAATACAGTGTCATGTCCCATTAATATACCATGGTGATTGGTATTACAGATGACCACTATCACCCAGTCTGCCCAGCTCAGCATGCAACTAGTAGGTGCCTTCATGCCAAGTAGATCGAGAGCATCTATAGTAGATTCCAACAGATTGTGGGTTCATCGTTGCTGGTTTCATGATGAAGCAGATCGATAACCCACGTAGGCGAATGTATGGCATGTAGGTCTGTGTATGACGTGTAGGCCGATAACCAAATGGTTTTTAGAACCAGACATGATAAGGTAGGCCTACATGTGTATGTCTGAAATTTTTCAAGGGTTTATATGGTCATGGTTAACTGGCCATATTGCTTATTGGATATTGGATTTTTTAAATTTTAATAGTGCATATAATCCATCCATGCAAGGTGCTCAAGGCACTACCATATGAACTCTAGCTAGGCTCCCAATTTCAGCGCTCACAACATTAAAGGAATTTCTTCCTACCAGTAGCAGTACATGTACCTATTTAACACCTGGGTGGAGAGTGGCAAATGTATGCACGACCTGCCCATCTCCAGTCCAGTGTTTAAACCACTTGACTACTTACTGACTGATGACTTCAAAAGTACATAATGCAAAAGTTTTTGTTTTTGTAAGATTGAGTTTCATATTGCTTCAATTGGAATTTCGATATAGGATGAGCTCTCCTTCAGGCTAGCTAATTTAAAAAGTATAGGCATTTTTCTCATAATACAAAATTGCTTTTAAAACTCGGTAGAGTGACATTCCTTCTTCTATATTCTGCATATACCGGTGTGTTGGCTCAGTCAGTAGAGCATCCGCCTCACAACCGGAAGGTTGTGGGTTCGAACCCCGGCCGCGTCATACCAAAAGACG